TTATTATTACTAAAGATATTTAATAAATATATTATATATATATATATATATATATATATTTTATATTAAATTATTATATTTGATAAATAAGAACTAAAATATATAGCTATAATAAATAATATCAAATGTGAACGTACATTTCTTTTATGCCGTAAGAAATATCTATTTAACATTTCGACGATTCAAACGTTTCCATAATGTTGACATACCAATTACTGATAATTCTAATATTAATAAATAGTTATTAATAATTACAAATATATGATTAGCTTTCTATTAGGGATCGATTTTTGTTTATAAATCATTGATAAATTCAATTTTATTTTAAATATTATTAATATTGAATTATGTAAACGTGGCAATTGCAATCGTATATATATATAAAAGACATAAAGGATATGTACACACTTTTTACGCGAAACACTCGGCAGTACTCGGCAGAACGGAGAGGGGTACTCAGTACAGGGTGAAAGTGCCGCGGGCGGAAACGTTGTTTCTCGCCATGGAATCCAAGCCGGAAACGCAATCGCGATTGCACGGCTGGTACAAGGGATTCGTGTTGAACGTGCTGGATCAATGCGGCGAGACCGCCTTCATCATTCGAAAGGATCCCAGCTGGTTGCACGTGCCGTGCTCCCGGCAAGTAAGTTGACACGACGAAGGCGTACTAAAATAGATGCTGCATCTTGTAATAATCTTGTAATTATACCGGGTCGGCATTTACATCTGGCGTCTCCCGACGTATCGTGATTCGATCACGGATCTTCCCTCTAATTTAATTATGTATCACGGATACAATTTAATTCGGTCGATATGTGCGTTTCGACTTGAGAGTCACCTCGGAGGTTTTTAAAGTTTTATCCTTTCAACCCCTCGAAAAAGGACGGAAGAAAGAATGCGAGAGAATGTGATTGTAGATAATCCGCCGATGATCCATCCAGTCGGTTGACGATTCACGGATGAAAGATATTGTCGCGATAAATTGAACCGCGTTCAATGTGCTCAATTAAATGATTTATCCTGCTGTTCTGTTCGAATCTATATGACCCATTTTTCTTATTAAAACGGAGAAAGTCCTCTTAATTATAACTTGTATGACTTTCAAACCGATTTTAACGATATCTTTTTGTAAATAGATATTTATATAATACGAAATAAACATAATAAAATATATTTTTTACGTAGTAATAATTTACAAATTATTAGAAAAGCAGTGTAATACGACTTAATTCATCTTGAAAATTCAGATATTTTGTAAAAAAAAAAAGGAATATGTGTAAACAAAATATATACATAAGATACATGAAATTATATTTGAATTGGAACTCGAGCAGGAGTGTGAGTGGAACGGCAGGATTAATTCTCGATTATCGACACGCTGGAAAACAAAATGAGATGTAAATATAAGTTTCTACCTTTCCGTCTGACTCTCTCATTTCTTGCATTTCTATAGAAAATTACAGTGGAAAGCGCAAATCTCATCGGCAGCGTGGAACAGAATTTTAGCTTAATAGGGCCGAGTTTTACGGTGTACGACGCATCTCAAACGCCGCTCTGCAACATATATGGACCCAACATTTGCGGCTGTTGCATGTACAAGGAGGCGCAATTTCAGGTAATTATTCATGCGAAAGTCGTTAATGCCACATTGAAAATGTTAAAAAGTAACTTCGGCTATGCTTAAAAAACGCGACGAAATTTAAAGCGCGCAACGCAGTCATTCTTATCTTTTTCTCATGTGTTGTTCATTAATTTTTTTATTTATTTATAAACTGTTAATATCTTTATCTATTAGAAATGTTGTATATTTGTACAGATAAATAAAAAATGTTCTTATTTGTGTAATATTACATACATTTTTTTAATATTATTATATTTTACTTACATATATTTGTCTCTTGTACCTTTTCCTTTTTAGATCCTATCATTAGACG